GTAATAAGACTACAATATAACTAGTTTAGGTGTTAAGACGTTTCTGTAGGATAGTATATTGTAAAGAGGCTAATAAAGTTACAAAAAGGTAATTGTAGGCAAGAACAATGTAATAAAACTATAAAGTGACTAGTTTAGGTGCTAAGACTCTCTCTCTCTCTCTATATATATATACATACATGCTACTAAACTTCAAACTGGAATGCAAGCTAACAAATAAACAACGTAAGAAGAGCCTTCGCTCTACCAACAGACAAATTTTCAGCTGGAAGTTGTAGCAGTATAAATATTTTATTCTACTGAACATGCCTAGATAAAGGTTTAAAAAACACTACAAAGTTATGAACTTGTTAAAAGGTAACAAAATATAATTTAAGTATCTTAAATAGCTTAATGAACAAAATGTATACATTCAGAGTAAATTTGAAGTTCTTAATAATATAGTTTTATTTTTACGTTTTTCTATAATAAAGACGTTTATCATATGAAAATGAATATTTGAGACAGCCGTATTTATTCATTATACAGTCATAGGAATGCTTAGAACAAGGAACTGAACAAGCATTCTAATATCTTACATTATGATTATACTGATTTGTTATTTGTGTCAAATTCTTGCTTTGACTCACGTAAAGCTGGCCACGTAAATATAATGACAAGCATTAGAACTAGAATTTATTTTAATATTAAAATGACTGATACATACTTATCTATAATCTCTTTAGTTTTCTGAATATAATTTAAATCATACATCTGGCATCTTTTATCCAAATATTTGAAAACATCCAGAATATTTGTGTTATTTATCAATGAGTTATTCTTGTAACATAAAACCAGTTATAAATTTTTTATGTCGTCTGTAACCTGATGTTATAGACTCATTGTAAACATCCATAAAATGTTCGTACATAGTAGATTCTACCAGACCTCTGATAGTAATTACATTGATTCTTGTAGTTGAGCTATAATTTGTGATAATGAGTATGGTTAGATACGGATTATCAATGAGGGGGATTATCATTCTCATTATGTTTGAGGGGGCCCCCAATCAGCTAAGAAAATATAAGTTCTTATAAATATATAGGAAATGTAATATTAAGATATCAATGTAAAATAATCATTAAAATATATTCAATGTATGTATTACTCTTTCTTTTTATTTTCTAATTGTCAATATCTAATTTTAACATTTGTTTTTTTATTTCAGCATATGAGCTGCTACTGCTGTTGTGAATGAGCAATATCATCATCACGTTTTTTTATGTTTGTTTCTCATTTACCCTAAGCACCATACTTGTAAATTGTGTGAATATACTATGTATATTCTTTTTATTTCAGCGTATGAACTGCTACTGCTGTTGTGGATGAGCAATATCATCATCAGTGTGTTAAGGTTTTTTTATGTTTGTTTCTCATTTACCCTAAGCACCATACTTGTAAATTGTGTGAATGTACTATGTACATGTATTGTTAATCAAAATCTATAGAAAAGGGCCTCCAAAATAGAAATTAGCCTCAGGCCCCAAGTACAGTTAATCCGCACCTGGGTATCATATTATGTGATTTCTGATTTTGAGAACCAAAGTTTTTATCTCGTAAAAAACTGTTAAAGATGTGGCCTTCTGGATAGTTCTTATTTAAAAGAAAATGTTTTAATTCATGGAGCCTGAATTCACGTTTCTACTCATTACTCACGAGCTGTAGTATTCGTCCGTTGGACAGGTGAAATAAAAATTCATTTATAATAAAGAATAGGAAATTGAGCATTTTTTCTTAGCACAATAAATATT